TCGTTGAAAGTCCAAGTACAAAGACGATGCAAGCACATAGAAAAATTCGTGAGGTCCGTTGGTTCGTTCCGTGGCTTAGTTGGTATAGCGTCTGGCACGGTATGCAAGAAGACGTCGGGTCGAATCTGACCAGATCGAAGGAATTTTTTCTGAGTGTTTTTTCTGAGTGTTCGATCTTTGTATTAATAATTATAAAACATAACGTTACAAGCGAGCACGAGATGCAACCGTTGTCCCGTCTTCTGAAATGCTCCTCCCACACACAAATTACCACGGCCGAAATGGAACTCTTGAAATAGGCTTAAGAATCAGGTTTGGATGAAACAAAAATAAATTGTTTAGGTGGGGATTTTCGGAGGATTAATAACGCACACAATAATAAAATAAATAAATAAATAAATAAAATAATTGCGATGATGAATGCGATTCAAACGACAACTCACATCACATCGTGGCACATAGTAGGTATACTGTATGCCATCGATACGATAATAAGAATAGGTGTTTATGCCACTACCTATAAGTAAGTCAGTCCGTAACCACAGCCAAAGTAACCTGGTCGAAATGTCGAGATAAAATAGGTAGGTGTGCAAATACCTGTTACAGCATATGCACTTTTGTAATGTTAGCATAGTTTAAAAGTATATACATACAACCGACTTACTCATGATAATATTATATAGACTATCTACATCTTCTCTCAATACACAGAAAAATTTGAACAACCCGGGCAAACTGCCGGTCTCGTCCGATTCACACATCCCGATTGGAAGCCAGTATCCAAGAAAGTTCAGCTCCCGCCAGGTCTTATTCCAGAGAAGCTCACTTATGCCACTACGCAGGTTCTGAACTCTTGGTACCAAAATAAGAAATATGTTCTTCCGGAATGGATTGAACGTTGCCCGGATTGGAGAAAGTAAGTAAATTTACATAATAATAACATGTCCCAGAGTCACTAGGGTTGACCATGGGACCTAGAAAGGGCCCAAATTGCCAAACTAGTCAAAAATACTCATCATGTATGGCAAAACCAAAGAATTAGATAAGCATACATATGTATCGAGTTCTTAGGTTTTCGGGATTGTTACACATAAGAAATTAAACATTTTTTTCGGATTTAAATCGCGTATATTTGTTGTTTCAAACAAACCAACGTTTCGGGCCCTTTACAGGTCGCATTTCTCAGTCAGTCAGCCGAGACCGTGGTACCTGTAAAGAACCGAAACGTCGGTTTGTTTGTAAAAACAGACGCGGTTTAGATCCGAAAAAACAGTTTCATTTCATACATGCATATATATGTATTTATTTTTTATGTTAGGTAGGTTCATTATAGTCATTAGAACTTTTGGAAGTCTGTTTTAATCATTACTTAATAAAGGATTACATAGGAAATGAAACTATTTTTCCGGATTTAAGTCGCGTACATTTGTTTTCTGAAACAAACCTATATAGAAAAATAGTTTCATTTCCTATGTGTAACAATCGCGAAAACCTAAAAACTCGAAGGATTGCCAGTTAAAAGTCACTCTTTTTGTTAGGAACGAACAAAGCAAGAAAGAAATTTAAGAAAGACAAATTTATATACCAAAACCTTTTTAACATTCATAAATATTTTTTATTTCGTTTTATTGCATTAATATAATGCATTTCCTTACACTAACACTTAAAATACTAAAAAGATTCACAGTTGCCCTTTTTTTGTAAAGGAATGTATACATTACATAAAGATTTTAATGGCTTGACAGAAAATGGTTTTATCTTTCCCTATGCCACACCGTGATAAACTTGTTTATAATTCACATTTCTTCCTCTTTTTGGTTACTCGCAACGCTCAGTGAAGACATATCTACTGCAGGAAAGGTATACCTCGAAATGATATACTACAAGGCCACGCACATGGGCTGTGGTATCATTGGCTACACTGAGTACGCCTATCACGATAACAATGCTGATGTTATATACAATGTAAGTATATTTACCACGCTCACTAAGTAAGTAATAAGTTAAAATTTTCTATGTCAAATAAATATTAAAAAAAATATAAGTTTAAAAAGAATAGAAAGCTACATTATGAAGAAACGCACACTTCAAACATAGTGAAGTTCATGAAGGAGGTTTTAAGTGAAGGATCTCATATGTCGGCGATTCCGAGCAGGTTACCTGACACCAGATTGCGCCACGCGACGTCGACAGTGCACTTCATATAGATTAGTTATTTAGTTTTTGTATGTATGTTATATAGGTCACGTTGCCTGATTTAAATGAATAAATAAAAAAAAATAAAAAGTTGTACTAGTAGTCCAACTCCCGCCTTTTCGGCGCTTCAATGCCTACATCACTCGGAGCGTACGGTTGTCACATTATTATTTTATTGGTTCCTACAGGTTAAAGATAGAATTTTAAAAAATTAAGGTGTTCATCAGTTTTCTTACGCTATTAGGTTATTTTAAACTTTGTCAACTACAGTATTTACATACTGATATTATTACACCAGCTTCGCGGATTATATGTCAATTATGGGAACATGATTATGAAATAGAAATGTAATGCTGAATAATTCTAAATTTGAGGCACTGTTGTTCTGCACAGAACCGTAAACACAACAATAAACACGTTTTCTACTTGATATATGTTTTTACACATCGATTTAGCGAAAGCTTCTAATCTACATATTATTATAACAAATGGCGCATGGGAAGACCCGCTCGCTCTGTGCAACACGAGTGTACCGTGAGATTGTGCGAATGCGTGCGTCCACGCACGGCGCGCGGTGGGCGTGCACACATATAAGCCGCGATGCTATGTTTGCATAGAATTACCATACTTATCACACATATTTTAACATTCTTTTTGCAATTGTGTTTATACTTTGCCTTCGAAGGCAAAGTATAAACTTTACCTTCAAAGGTACAAAAAAAGTGTCAATTAATTTACCACGCTTAATGTGTTTTACAGTCAGTTCAAATCATCTGCAACTTCTCAGCCAAACCAATACCTGGTCAACCAATTTATGATATACACAAACCCAATAGTCCAGGAAATACTATCAGGTGTGGATGTCCAATAGGATTTGAAGAAGATGATTCATGTCTGTGCGTTCCTACGGAAACTCGAGGTACGCAAGCACTTGCCTTATATTTTATGTACATTACAGTACATACATATTGCCTTATATGTATGTACTTAATAAAATGAATTTAAATGCATCTAAATGCTTTCACATTAAGTTTACTAGAAATAAGAATTTTGTCCAGTCAGAGTATAAAGTGGACGGTGTATGTCTAACTGAGCACTCTTGTGTCCGTGATCTTGGGGTCATGTTTGACAGCAAGTTAAATTTCACGGACCATATTAATAGTATCATATTAAAGGCTTGGAAGATGGTGGGTTTCGTCAAACGCTCTTGCAGGGAGTTCAGGAGTCCGGCTGCCATACTCGCTTTATATAACACTTTGATACGTAGTACCTTGGAATATGCATCCCCAATTTGGAATCCACATTATAGAATCCACTGTGAACGAATTGAAAGGATACAACGTAACTTTACTCGTTATCTGGCATACAAAGACCCCGACTGTCCCTATCGTGCTGAATATAATACTCGCCTACACAATTTCAAAATGCTGTCTCTTGAGACCAGACGCAGAATCATCGATATTGGAGTTTTGCATAAGATAGTGCATGGAGGTATGTCGTCGCCAGAGGTTCTTGCCCTCACCAATTTTAACGTTCCTCGTAAAGTGCCTAGGTACCCCATAGTCAGAACATTTGTTTTGTCTAGTGGCCGGACTAATCTTGGAAAGTATGCCCCCTTGAACAGACTCATGCAGTCATACAATGACTTACTTACGACTGGAGACGGCGACATAGATATCTTTAATATAAAAAATACTAAGCAGTTTCTTCGTATGTGCAAGCAATTTGTTTGAACTTATGAAACTTGTAAATATCTATTATAGGTAACTAATTATTACTGTAATTTTATATTTCTAATCATATATTTTCTTTAGTATCTCATTGGTTAACATTAGATTTTTAGTGATGTATACACCTGTAGTGACTTGGCACCTTGTATAGTGAACCTGTGTGTATTTTTTTTTTTAAATATTGTTTTGTGTTAAGTTGATGGTGTATCTTTAAATAAATAAATAAATAAATAAATAAATAAATAAATAAATGTAAGACTAGAGAGAGTAAAGAAACTAAGTACTTTTCTTAGACTCGGACAATTGGTGTAACAAACACAAAACATCAACACTATATGGAAGTGAAAGTTGACAGTCGCGTTATATCTAAGGACACATTTAATTAAAGTACATTATTCAAAAATTTCACAGAGAATTAAACTGTTACCAACTCGTGTCACTGATAAGACCAGCGGTAATGGCAGTTTGGGGACTGCATATGTCTGCAATACTTTTTTATATTTCTAAGTTACTGGACGATCAAGTGGTGCACCTGCTTGTAAGCGATACGCCTACCCATAACAGCTGCAGGGCCACTCAGAGTTTTAAATCGTAAAGACCTGAAGGTCACCTTGAGATATAAAATTGGTGAGTCCAATATGCCCAGAGACACCAGCGCAAAGTTTCGCCAGCATCCTTACCCTCCAAAACTGAAACGCTGTATAATACTCAAATTACTCCGTTCGCCGTTCGGCGGCAGAGACAGGAATAGTAGCAGCAGTTCCTTGGACGAATTTTTTCACAAAGAGCTGTAAGGCTACTAAAATGTTAAACTTCTCCGACATGTTGCATGACGCATGTGGCGTACGTTTAGGTTCTCTGTTAGAATAATCGACAATTATTAGTAAACTAAACTGTACATTACCCAAAAAGACCCGCCGAAAATCAAGCCGGCGATGAGTGTTTCACCAATTATGCTGTCACTATTTACAGCAGCAGTATTGATATTATTACTTGTTATTTCCATTTTCAGAATATTGTAATGTTAAAGATAAAAGTTGCAAAGTACCATTGGTACTAATGCCCATATTTACTGTAGAAGATGCTCCGCAAGATAAAGCCGCCGCCAGATATGGGTAAGCCTTTATGCGTACATCCAGTATTATGTATTTTATTTATTTATTACGTTTAAGAATTGCAAATCTATGAAACAAGCTCTATTCCATACAATTTATAAATTTATATTTACAAATTATTCTACACAATATTTCCAGACCTAATGATACTCGGCTAGTGGTTGTAGATCAAGATGGGCCGCGAGAAATCCGATACGATATGCTGAGACCAATCCCCAACGACAAAGACGGACCACATTACGAACTTATACCTCAAGACGGGTTAAGCCAATCTTTAGCCCTCGTGCCGATATTGGAACAAGTGCAAAGTGACCTGCCTGACGCTAAAATTTACTGGAACCAACCTGAACATGATATACTTGAACCTTTATATGGAACCTTAAAAAACACTAAAGGTGAACTACCTCGTATTGAGCTATTTAATGATCAAATAGACAGAGAAGCTCTAGCTCTGCAAAAATATGAAGCAATAAAAAATAAAGAAGCTCAACTTGATCTTGCACGAACACTTCTAATTAAATCATACGATGATTTAAAGCAGAGTTTTACACCCAAACGACAAGAACAGAATGTATTGCAAATATATAATGAAGAAATATTAAAGCAAATAGCAAAAGATGAATCTTTAAATAACAAAAAAATACAGAAACAAGATAATAAGACAGTTATCATGTCTACTAAGGGTTTGATCTTGGAAACGGAACGCAGTTCACCCCACTTTGAATTTTTGAAAGTTCAAAATAATCTTTCTAAAAACAATATTCTCTCACATCGACGTAATTATTTACCTATAATAGAGCTACCTGCAATTACTCAATCAGATCAGACCCTTTCCCAGTACATGTTTTCGCAAAGTGAAGAAAAAATGCCATCTATACGCAATAATTTGGTGCACACCCAGAAAAATTTACCTGCAGATTCAAGTGAATCTGCACCGTCATTGCCCAAGATACGTCCCACTGTCAGTGAACATACTGTTGCCTTGCGTAAAAATTTGAAAAATTCTCATGATAAACTCATGCCAATAAATAATGAGCGAAAGATTACTAAAAACAATATGCCCTTTGAGGTTAATTTGATTCCAATACCACGCAAAACATTAGACCAAATTAATCAAAATAGTCAATCTACATCCAAATACAACAAAACTGTACGACAGTTTGAAAAATTTTCTTGGCCGAATAAAAGTATTCGTTTTGAATCTAATAAGTTGCCACAAAGAACCAGTAATACGCTTGTACCACATAAAGCGTTAAAAATAACTCAAAATGATTGGAGAATTCAATATGGCCATGAAATATCAGCAGATAAATCTTCTGAAAGTAAAAAATTATTAGTAGAAAGTATGCCACACCAAAATATTTTGCATTCACAAGGCAGAGACTCAAATTTGGGTCAAAATCAATCACAAAAACCTCCACTTCCGTTAGCAAACGTTGTCCACATTAAAGATACTGTAGAGCATTTCATAACTAATGACAAATCTTTAAAAAATCAATTGCGTTATACAGTTAATAAGAAAACCAACAACCAAAACAACAAAAATCTAGAAGAAACACAGTCATATACGGGACAATATGGGGGACAATCGCAATTTAATGATGATTCTAAATTGTGTAGATTGAAGGGTGGAAAATTGATATGTGATGTGCCGATGGAGCACTTGATTTTAAAAGAACCTATACCTGATGCCTTACAGTCAAAACATCAAATGAATGAAGGACAAAAACAAAGAAAAAGTACCACCCGACTTAAATTAACTACAAAACAAAGATCATCTACTCATAAAAGACGTTTTGTACAGATTAAGAAAGTAAAAGCATCGGGTAAAGAAGAAATGTCAAATGAATATCAAGTCGGCCACAACGAGAAATCTGCCAAAAAAAATATAATTAAGAATAATTATAACAAGAAACGTATTTGGTGAAGTTCCTAAAGATCCTGTCAAACGGGAAGCTGATGATTAAAACAACTGAAAACTCAAAATAAAAATAGCAATAAATTTATTTCTAGTATCACTTTTTTTCAATAATGTAGGCAGATTTAAAACCCGTGTTTAGCGATCACAGCAGGAAGTCAGATCAACAGTACAGGATGTAATTGTAAGCAAGGATTGAAAACATAGTTAGTTATATTTTTTATGATGGAATACTTTGGCAGATAGGTACCTGAAAATGGACTACAGCATACGCACAAAGTGATCGTTATAGTAGTAGGTACATTTGATTACGCAAATACGAATTGTTATCGTATTCGAAAAACACATCGCAAATTGTTTTCAAAAAGTCCGTAAACATTTTCTGCCAACACAAGCCCACGATTTTTTTTAAAAGTACGACCGTATGAATCGAAGCCAATTCGAAAAATTACTCGATGTTAAAAAAATACAACGAATTGCATTTTATAGTTTGAAATTAGAATACGATGAATATAGCCACGTATTATTTTGTGTTTTTAACAGTTTTATATAGTGTGTCTAGTGCAACGATAAAATCTGTGCATTTAGAAGAGGTTTGTGCTTTTGGATTATCTTTTTCAAAAATATAATTTCTTTTTAAGAACGGGCACTTGGATAGCAAGATTTAATCATCTTAAATTTAAAGATTAAAGGAAAAGTAGGTAATCTATCCTTTTTGAACCGTTAGTTCAATTAATGAATAATTAAAATGATATCCATTTACATAAATTATGTACTTTTGCTGAAAAGTTATTTCATTGCCCTTTCTATTTAAAATATAGATTTAAACAATCTAAATATCTAAGTAGTTTATGGGATAGTGATAAAATACAGATATACAGGATAAATTTATCTGTTTAATGCTTTGCAAATCCTTTACCCTTTCTTATTTAAGTTTAAACTTGCCCTATTAGCATTAGGCCAATTGGACATTACTTTGTTAATCAGGCATTTATGCCTGGCTTTAAATGCAAACTTAATTAAACTAACTTAACTTAAAAACTCATTAATTTTGTTTGCGGCATTTCAGGGGTTATTACAAGAAAATAGTTCCAGTTCATTGGAAGTCTACCACGAGGCAGATACCTTTGCGCATCAAAGGGTAAGCACTACCACAGATTCCTGTTCTTATCTCAGGTTTCTAAAAATACAATCAAGATATTGTTAATAAAATTTAAACAATGGTAAAGTTTTTTATTCCATATTAATATTACAGTGAAATTCCTCTTCTAATACTCTGTATTAATCTTAAGGGCTTTGTACAAAAGTCATGTCGAGTGCAGAGGCAGCAAGATTTGGCATAAAAATAAGAATTATTACTTTGAGATGGTGTTCGGAAACTGATCTTGCTAGCCGCGCAATCTACGTCTTTACTGCCAATTAATTAAAAAACTAAAAACTGAGTTTTCTTATTTTTCTAGATGGCACGTCACATTGAACTAGAATCGCCATCCGTAAACAATTTAGTTCAAATTATGAGTAGCGACTTAACTACACATGAGAAAGACAGAAAACACAAGTTCGTCAGAACGGTGTTTAAAAAGTTAATGGAGAAAATTGAAGCTGGCGTCAACAGTCCGAAAGATGATGATTTGACTTCGTCGTCTAATCGCAGCACTGCAGAGGAAAACACAAGTGAAGATGACAATACCGACAGTTCAATTGATAACTTACATAATTCTGAAAATATATCTGATTATTAACATTATTTTTCTTGTGAATACTTGCGATAATTAAAAAATTGTATCAATTATTACAGAAAAACGCATGAAAAACTTCCGAAAGCTGATGTATCGAATGGTTCGTAGATGGCCGAATTCTAACAGAAGAATATATGCGCACAGAAGGACTTAAGTGAAAAGGTCATAAGTTCTATGAGAATAAAGTCTTTTAAAACTGCAATATCTTTCTTCGATTCAAATTAAAGATAAACATTTAAGAAGACATATAAGAAGAATAAATAAATTCCTTTGAAGATATTTTCCATTTAGCATTCATGACACAGGCATCAACGCGTTTATTAATTAATATTAAAATAAAAACAAATCATACTATTCTTTGACTTTAATATGTACAATAATGTCTACGGGTTTTCTGTTCATATTATTTTCTCCTGACAATTTCGAGTCAGACATGTTAGACTCTGGTACGAGCTCCTTCCAATCGGAAGACAACAGCGACGTTGCTTTACGACGTAGGATACCATTGCTGCCAGATGATTCTTCATGGAGCTTATTAATTATTGATCCGCTTTCCTTGTTGTTCTTCCTTCGATTCTTATTTTTCTTTTTCGGTCGTTTCTTTTTCTTCCCTTTTTTCTTTTTAGTCTTGTTTTTTTTACTTTTCGTTGCTTCTGTTACATCCAAGTAGATTATACTGGTTCGTCTCTTCTTTTTACCAATAGCACCATGTACGTCAGCCTAAATTAAATTAAATTGATTTAGTTTTATTTATAACATCTGTGTTATCTTTTCATAAATGATGATTGGGTCATAGTCTGCTTTGTACCGATCACCAATCTTAGACAACCGTCTTAGAAGAGGTAGATACAGCTACGTATTGCATCATAATGATAAAAAATGAATTTAATTCATTAACTTGTTATTAAATTAAAACTATGGAAGTAACAGTATTTTTAAAGAAAATTACGGCTTTTAACATTTCGATGGCTCCCAAATTCTGAATTCTAGCAACAGGCTATATTTGGATCAAACGAGGATTTGATTTATAACTATAATTACCAGCAACTATTTCTATAAAGACGATATAAAGGAGAGAAATAAGTAGTACCACCGTGTATGGCAACGATATAGGAAACCTCACTCAAGGAATGCGAATTTGAAAACACCTACGACAAACTGTATAACACGAATTAGAAAAAGTAGAATGTCAGCTATACAAAGAATTCAAGAGGAAGCACACAAGATGTAGTCAATACCTAAAACTATACTCTGATACAAAGGAGGTGGTATTGCGCCGATAAGAGCGTCGTTCTTAAATTGAAGAATACGTATTATATTACTAAAAACTGACATACCGAATTCTGAATACCAATGCTATCTGAGCTCTCCACTATACTTCGAATTGCTTCATAAGGTCTGGCATCTACCTGTAAACAACAGCAATTGACACTTGTAACGACTAAGTCATTAATCAATAAAGATATATACAATAAGTTCTTAAATACTAGGGATAGGGCGAAATTAAATAGACGACTTCTAAAGCAACATTTCCATTTTATTGACAACCAGCGCAAGTGGAACTCCCGTTCGGTCGGTGTAACTTCACCTGAAAAGTATCGCTAACATGGATTTTCTTTACAAAAAAAGTAAGACTGATCAGCAGAGTGACGTGTCGGTGTGTTACCTTGCTAATGAATCACTTAGGCAGTTTACAATGCAGTTCATTAGAACAATTTTAAAAAGCTATATTACTATTGTGTCAAAAGCAAACATATTTTATTAATATTGGTTCTGAAGTTTTCGCGATTACCACCATGGACATATGAATTGGGAATGAAACTATTTTTTCGGGTCTAAAAGGCGTTTTCAAACCAATCAACTTTTTGAGTTCTATACAGGTCCTATGAACACGGTGATTCAGTCAGAAGTATATAACACTTATAAGAATGTTTTCACCTCTGGCTGTTTCTTATCTGATCTGAGTGTTTTCGACATGGTGTCCCCGGACTAGACTTCTTTAGTCGTATTTATCATACAAGAGTAAATATTAGCCGTGTATATAGTAAGAGTGATTGATTGCCACGTTTATTTTACCTTACCCTTGCATCTGAAACACAACAGTACAGCCACTGCTTATTTATGCTTGTAGTAGCAACAAGGACTTTTGTCACACCTGCCCATATGCGCAAGGAAGACCCTATTAGTGATAAAAATTATGAATAAAATACTTAACACACTCACCTGATTATTAATTTCATATCTAAAGTTAAAATTTAAAATTGCGAATAACAACAAGCGACACAAAAGGAACGTAAAATTCATTGTAACATGGTTGCAGGTTCCTTATGGACGGACAACCGTAGCCGAATGTCAGCGGAAATCGGCTATCGTCAGTTTTGACTTCTTTCAAATAAACAATGAAACGTGCATTGTATCCATTCACTATAGTAGGGTTGGTTCATCAAATTTGTTCACAAGCTTTAGTATAAACGTAAACTTTAATTACCTGTATACAGAAAGTTAGTATATATACGTTAGGATACGCAGATCACATATCGATGAGTTGCGGCTTAAGTGACATAGGAAGGTTAACCTTCATGTGCTTCTTCAAGGACTAGTAGCTTTTCAAAAGTTCTTGATGCCACGATTAATTTATCAGACGCTCATCGTGTGTTGAAGCGTGTCGATATACTCATCACCATACTGTATTTCACGTCTGTCTACCTCGACCCTAGGTTTCTTGCTGTTAGACATTGTCTGCGTTTTGGGCCGGTTTATCTGAGGTCCAAGGTCTAACCTCAAGACTTGCTATAGTCAGTTCTTGGAGTATCTGTTGCTGTTCATGTGCCGTTGGGCTAAACGTATTACGCCATTCACTAAATGCAAATTCGTTAAGCGTTCACCACCGTAGACAATATATCCTTAGATTTCCAATATCCCAAGATATTGCTTGGATTTTAAAAACTTCTTAGCTAGTCAATAATATGGGTGATAGCGGGTCGCCTTGCTATACGCCTTTATGAATGTTAAATGATGGGAATTTCATATGTAATTTTACGTTTGGGTTGGTTATAAATTAATTTTATTAAATTTATGTAGGTTTTTTCTCTTATATATGAAAAATCCATTTTAAACCGCTTACCAAGTAATGTTTTTTATAGGTAAGGAATCTTGGTAACTGTGTACAAGAGATTTAATTCACACAAACAAGTTTGCGACAGCCCTACTTGAAAGATCCTTGAGCAAAACGTCTAGACTTAGTGCAGCAGTCAAATTCGAAACTATTTGGCCATTTCTTGTACATTATACGAATATTTATTGGTGTTTTCAAAAAATTGCTCATGATATAATAGGTTATGAGACTAGGTGTTCGCAAAAATAAGTTTACTGGGTACTTTATAGCTCTGTGTTTACATCTTACTCTTACTGCAGGACGTGAAGACTCACTTTAAAAAAAAAATTCAATCATAACCCAATGCAGTTCAAAGCATTGTGAACTTATAATATCGTATCCCAAGCCACATGTGATTATATGATTATCGCAGAAGTATTTTTATCACATTAAAGCCATAAAAATAATACGAACAACTTACGTAGCAATTACATGAAACTAATGGGAATATTAAAAAAAATAAAAAATAAAAAGAGAGTGGAGTAATTTCACATACAAAACTAATTGAATATCAATTCAATAAAAATTTAAATACAATGAATAGCGACATCTCTAGCCGGGGCTGGTAGCTGTAAAGGTATATAACTGGGTGACGAAATACTTAGATTTTTCATAGATGGCGCTATAGCTAAAAAGTCGTTGAAAAACCAAATACAAAGACGACAACAAACACGGAAAAATTCGTGAGGTCTGCTGGTTCGTTCCGTGGCTTAGTTGGTATAGCGTCTGGCACGGTATGCTAGAAGACGTCGGTTCGAATCCGGCCGAATCAAAGGATTTCTTTCGGAATGCTCGATCTTTCGATCTTTACTTTTACTGAAATTAATGCATAACATTTTATCGAAATGCATATCTAACACCTAAATACATATTATCTAATATTTCTGGCATGCAACAAATTTGTTATAAAAAAACATACCTATTTCACTAAAAGGTGCATCAGTCTATCGGAATGAAACACCATTTTATTTGAAATAATTGTCTAATTGTACAATTTATAACAATAAGATCAACAAAAAATAAATAAAATTGCAACAAAAGTGTAATGCTTGAAAATCGAAATAATTTTTTGTATTAGCAAGTAAAGGTTCAATTTAGTTCCAATATTATGAATTGCTTACAAGAAAATCAGCTAAAAAACTTAAAATAAAAAAAGCACGAAATAATTAAATTAACTTTTATTTACATTTGCCCGGCAGTGGGACATAATAGTTTATTAACATTAATAATTCAATAAAAACTTTTATTGAATTATTAATGCGAGTCTTGCTTTCGCAAGACGTCCACGCTTCCTTTTCTGTCCGATTAGAACATTTTTGGCGCGAGCCCTACAACATGACTGTTCGCATTTATAGTTTTTGAAAAAATGAGGGCAGTTTCATTTGCACAGCGTTCTAGTTTATTCTTTATCCGGGCATATTGTACTAGACTCAAGGTTGTATGAGAAAGAGATAAAAAGTCCCAATTATTTTCAGTAAATCAGATGAAATTTTTGAAATAATGTTGTATATGTTATTCGTTATATCATAAATATAGTTGTTGTACGTGATTCATTGTATAAACGAAGATAATTTGTGGAGCAACTTTAGAGAAAAATTATTGTTATTTCGTTTAGAGTTAATTTAAATTGATATGCAATCAGTGTTTTTGTTATGTAAGCCACATTTTTGTTAATAAATGAACACTTTCGTTGTACACTGAGAAAATAGCAGATACACGTTTTTAAATAATTTTTGATATTAGTTTTGCTAGACAGTTGTTTTATTTGTAGTGAAATTATTTTTTAGGTGTGAATGTTATTTGAATAATGAACATAATTTTATATATATTAAGTTTTCTGATATGCACTTAAATATTTCCCTTTACTTTTTAGTAATTATCGTAGTGTAAATAAAATAAAACATAGTAGTCTTTTAAACTTTATTTATTTTCTACTTTTTCTACTTTTCACATACGCAGCTTGGCTATAATATTGACAAACTGTTTTTTATGCGCCAAGGCCGCCACCACTACACATACACACGTACATAGTTTCAAAATTACACTTTTTTTAACACATACACTCATAACCTCGCACTGGAGAAACCCTGTATCGCGGGTGCCATGGGCACGCATATAGACAACCACAAATTACATCCAAACTCACGAGATAAACAAATATAGGTCATATAAAATATTTCTCCCAGCGCGAGAATCGAACCCGGGACCTCATAATCGTTCGGCCACGGAGGCAGTTAAAACTGATTTTATTGTCCTGGCTTATATACTAACTTCGTCTGGCCGGCGATTTCAGACTCTTATTAAGCCTCCTTCACTATTTAATATTTTTAGAACTTTGACTGCATCTCGATATGTTTACAAAAAAAATGATTTTTTTATGGTTTTACGCTGCGGCTTACAAGATTTGTGGCTGTGTAAAAATAGTCACACCGACATACTCAGTTTTACAATTGCTTTGAACCGTTGTTTACAGTTCTTGTCATTATATTCTTTTTTTCAAAAAGTCCATCTTTTTTAGTAACGAATGATAATTATAAAAATTATATTACTTGTCGCGTTGTTATAGAGTTGAATATAAACCTAAAACATATATTTTAGCATTATTTTTTTACGACAAATTGACACAAACAATTATAGATATGTATACACTTTTAATTTTGTGTCTATGTTCATTACCGTAGTCTTCTCAACGGCAACTGCAATGCATAATATGGAAGTCCTCGTCAAAACTAATAATATGAGCCCGAACACAAGGTAGCTGTTGTACTGTTGAGGAGTTCCTCTCATCTGTCTGCCATTTCCATCGTCAGATCAGCTTTAGGGTACCAAAAAAGTTTACTTGACTGGTATTACATCTATATGTTTATATCTACAAGTTTTATTGAAATTGTTTAACGGAAAGTGGATGAAATTCTATAAACTGGATTCATGTCTTAATTTAAATGGGACCTCTACTACACGCCAAAATAGGAATCATCGAAATCATTTCATAAAGCGTGAAACACACTGAAAGCGGGTGCGAGTCGGGCGCGTGTCGAGTCGGAAGCACGGCGGGTCGGGAGCACGGCGGGTGTAATTCCTTGTAATTATATAGACGACGACATATATGCCAAGTTTTATTAAAATTGAAAACGGAAAGTGGATGAAATTCAATAAACTGAATTCATGCCCTAATTTGCCACCCTTAAAGGTGGAATATCTTCTTTAAATTTGAGTTGGACCTCTACTATACAACAAAAAAGGGTTCATCGAAATCATTTCATAGACCGTTAAACACACCGAAAGCGGGTGCTGATAGGGCGCGTGTCGAGTCGGGAGCACGGCGGGTGTAATTCCGTGTATTTATATGGACGTCCGCTCGTAGTGTGTTGTCATACATATAAATACACGGAATTACAGGCAAAAAAAAACAATGGAAGCCTAAGCCTCGATTACTATCGGAACCGTTGTCGCCAAAACGCACACAAATAAATTTAATGATAAACACTATGAGATCCTGTTAATGATTGGTCATAGTTTCTAATTTAAAAAGATGTAACAAATTCTGGATTGTTAATATAATTTAAACTTTTCCCAGTCGCTATAGCGTTTAAAGACTGTATTTACTTTTTAGATACAATTTTAAGAATCAGGCAATAAAAATAATCAATAATCTACATAAACATTTACTAATCTTCCTAACTATTAAATACTACCTTTATTTAATACCTACGATTAAAATTTATTTTAGGGATCAAAACAACGTAAACAAAATTCACATTATGGGTATTGATTAAAATCAGTTTACAGTCTGGCTGTTCAGCCTTTTTAGTGTTTCCTTATCTTATTTTGAAAAAAATCATCAAGAACGGAATTTGTTAGCTACAAGAATAGGTAATATTTTTTTTGGAACTTGCACGATTTATATCATCAATTGCTTTTTATACATAACGAGGTAATTCATGTAAGTTCAAAATCTTTCCTTCCGTTTTTTTCTTTGCATACCTCTATCTTTTTCTTTAAACCTTTCATATAGAATAAGATCGCTCTTTAACTTTGCTTTACCAGCACGCTCTTTCATATTCTTGATTTCCAATGATTCTTTTAGGTCCGTAGGTACCTATTAAATTGCCGTTTAATACGTATAGAGAGAATTGAAAAAGAATGAAATATATATATTTATCGAGTTCTTAGGTTTTCACGATTTTCACAGGTCCCATGATCACCGT